CATTGCAATAATATGACAATATCCAAAGAGAAGTGGTCATGGAATGATTTAAGAAATCAATTTTATAAAGGCTGTGTTTCTAACTAATTCAGAGGAGAGGGTTTTATAAGTTTCCAGAATTCGTGCCCAATCCCTTCATAATTAAATTACAATAAAATACATTGTGTATGTTCAAATCAACTAATTTAAAGAGATGTGTGAGTGAACTGAGAAAAAGATAACCCATCTGCCTGAATTTTGACATAACATGAGACATATTTTTACATCATGCATAGGGAAGTAGTGGTAATACAATCAATTTTATAAACATGTGTTTCTAACTAATTCTAAGATGCATTAGTATGTGAATAAATTGTGAAACAGATAACCCACCTGTCGGAGTTTTGACATCGCATCAGAAGAAATGAACTCATTCTTGTTAAATCTGGACACAAAGCATAAAGTGATGGGTTTATTTCTGGAGAATCCAAGTTCCTCCTCTCTCAGCACAAAGGCACGGAAAATCTGCACTTCCTGCAGGGTACAAATAGGTCATTAGAATCCATTTACTATTTAAATATGTATTTACATTAGACTAATTATAGAATTAATTCATTGCTGTATAGTGATGTAAAATGGAATAAGCAGCAATAGAAACTGACAATGCATCACCACAGAAAAACAATCAGGTCCAGGAAAATCACTATATTTAGCTTTACAGCTTTACTTACCTATATAATATAGCTTTATTTAGCTATTTCAGAGTAAGTTTCTGTTATGAAAAGCATACAAAGAGTCGCATAATGAAGCAGTATTAGTTTTCAGCTATATAGGTAGATTTATCTAAGAGCTAAATATAGTGGACCTGACAATGGTGACCTGAATTCAACCAAAACAGTGCTATTCAAGTCTTCTTTCCTTTAAAGATAAAAATCCAACTAGCTGACCCCAGTCAAAATAATCTCACCGATTTGAAGTCGATGAACTGATTGATGAGTGTGCCGTCTGTATTCTGAAATTGCAGCTCCACTACATCGGATGTCGTGTTGCCCGAAATAACTTCTCTTATTACATCGCCCCCTTTGTTTTTAACATTTACGACCAGTTGTGAAAATGTAACTGGTAATGAGACAACTAATGCCACAAAACTCACGGGGTTTAGCAACATCTTTACGATATTTTAAGTTTTTAATCAATCATGTCCCATGTTGTTGGTCTACATTCACCATTTTTGTTGATAATCAAGGTGAAATAAATGTTTGAATCTTCGCACTCAAAACGCTTAACAAAACGTACATAAGATGTTTCGTTTTTATTGACAATTTTAAATATGTAATAATATATGAAGTAATTAAACTCAAAAAAGCTGCGGAATCGCTGCATTAAATAGAATTATGAGGAAAAAATAAAGTATTTTCATAGAATATTCAATTTGAAGCAATATTGTTGATATTTTCTGCTGTCTGATAAGGGAAAAAAAACCTCCCATTATCTGTAAATATGGATCTTATAGTTAATCCGATTTTTTTCAATTTTTCTTATTTTTTAGGATACATTATTTTTTATACGCATCCAAATGCTGACTGACGTTTTTCACACTAATAGCTAGTCCATTATTTACACACTGAATGGACGACGGATATATTCCGTTATTTCCCGATCATGACAAGAAGCAGGGGGTGGGCGTGAGGGTCAGGAGGGGATGCTCACTCCTCCATGGCACCTGATCCCATCTCTGATTGTTTTCTCCTATTTTGTATTGTTTTATGGATTTTTTTTTAGCTTGAATACTGTTCGTTATCTCCATATGTTTCTTTTCATCCTAGATATTTTTTAATTTTCAAATATGGTAAAAAAGTCACATAGAGATATAAAATGGTACAAAAATGAAACGTTTTGATCGTTTACTAAAAGAGGAAAACTCTTTCTACCGATTTTTGGCTCATATCTGTGCTTACAGTAGAGGCTTTTAAAAGTTAGCCTAGTATAGTTGTAATTTGTCTCGAAAATCACATCACACAGAACTTTGATATATTTTATAACGTTATTCTCTTAATATTATTCATTTAACTACCATTTGAAAAATTCTTCAAGTCTACAACTTTGATAAGTCAAAATTAAAACTAAATTCATTGTTCTGAAATATTATTGAGAATCGGAAAAGAAGATATTTTCATACGATATTTATTTCCGCTAAAAATATAGTCCCTTCTAGATTTCAATTAACCATTATGATATATACATGTAATTAAAGTTGTGCTATTATGATAAGATGAGAAAAAAAATACGATCTTTTGAATATCTTACATCTAATTATAAGAGTTATAAGAAAATGCATTGAATATTTCATCTAGTCAGGAACCAGAATAGAACCCTACCTTATAAGACTTATTCTAGGGACCATTAATTATTTAGTCTTGCAAGAAATCCAAACAAGATTTATTTTCTAATCGGTTATCCAATAGAAAAGAAAGACTTGTTTTCATCATATTTCATAAAAATATTGAAAAAAGTTCTAACGGAAGCATATTTAAACATAGGTCTAATAATACAGTGTACAGCTTTCAAAGGTTATTTCTACTCAGTTTTAGGGAGGCATGTCGACCGCCATGTAATATTGAATCTAATCTCCTGTTGCACACATCTACATCAATATTCAAGTGCTTTGTTATACAGGACGGCTGATGAACCACTATGTTATTGATCCAGTCAAACTGATGTATGTTATACAGCGCTTCATTAACCCTCACTTGAGTATTTTGAATGGTATACTTACGCATAAAAATGTCAACAAAAGATAAATCCGCGTCACGCGCACGGGAACCCATGTTTTTTTTTTTTTTTTTTTTTTTTGTAAATCAGAATATCTAAACTCAAAACTTTTATTACATTTTTTACACACCTTCCGTGATCCGTGTGTGTTGATCAGACGGAACAATCCGTCTGTACAAAACAAGGACATAGTGAAACATATGGAGATAACGAACAGTATTCAAGATCATAAAACAATACAAAATAGGAGCAAATCAGATACTGACCTCCAAAACATCATAGGTGTGATAAGGTACCATGGAGGTATAAAACATGTCAGCAAAAGAGAAAAAAAAACTTTGATAAGTTACATTTGCTTAAAACGTCATTATATCGACCAAAGAATTTATTAATTAAATGCTGATTTTAAATGAAGTTGAAATCCCTGTCAAATAGATTTACGCAAGAGCATGCTCTCCATCTTGAACAATTTCTAAAACGAGGAAAGTTGTTGACAAAAAAGTTGATGAAACAAGAATATCAGCAATATCTTTTTAAGTCATCATTGCGTAATTTCTATAGCTGATACAATGACCTTGTCAGCAAATACAATTTATCATTGAGTCAAATGCTGACTGACGTTTTTCGTAATAATTGTTAGTCCATTATTTATGCACTGTATTGACGTCGGATTTTCCCGATATTTCTCGTTGATGACAAGGAGTACAAGGCGGGTGTGACCGGTAGGCAGGGGATGCTCAACCCTCCATGGCACCTGATCCCACCTCTGATGTTTTGGAGGTCCGTGTTTGTCCCGCTCCTATTTCGTATTGTTGTATGGACTTTGATCTTGAATACTGTTCATTATCTCCCTATCCTTCATCTATCCGTAGCCTGCCTCGATCGGTGTAAAGACTTGTTTTACTCGGAGCAAGTTCTTTGTTAAGGAATAAGTTGGGAGACATAAACATGATATGCAGGTGATAGCGGAATGTCACTGTATATGCATATAAATAAGGAGAGTTAACGAGGAAGATATGCAGGCATCTCATTTGTTGTTAACATTCCCAACAACCAAAATGAATTTGAATTACTGTAGCTATACTGGATTCAAAACTTTATAAAAATCATTATTTAACGAAGATGAAAAGAAACCAAGCAAGTTCCAGGAATTGTTCTGCCAAACCTCTTTCTTTACTCCTTCCAAGGATATTATTAGCGATGAGGGAGAAAATTTAGGAGTACTGTGCAACAATATTTTAGCATCACAAAATTTTACCAAAATCAAAAAACATAAATACGAGGGAGGTTCAATAAATAATGTCATTAGCTCGATGGCATACAACATAGTAGTCATATGACATAAAGCTTGACTTTCTCTCATTATTGAATCTTTAATGAATTGATAACAGTTTGTGTGACCACTTTTCATCGCATTATTTCATCGTGGGAAGCTGGAAAACAAGGGCTATTCGAGACACTGCATTAAAATTGAATGGTCAAGAATCAGTAAACTAGAGTAAAATTAAACGCTTCATTAAAGTAGCTGTAAAACTTGTTAATATCCCAAAATATACTAACTGAAATATGTGAAAGTTACAGCAACCAATGCCTGTTTTATAGAGAGATGAACATGGTTAGATTTCAATTAACAACTAGATGCTGTCATGAGACAGTAATACCCGCACTAAGGTGTTTGCCTCTAAATGCACACTTCTTCATATTGGGCTTTACCAAGGAAAAAGTCAATATATTCAATAATTTACATATTACATGTTTTTTCATATTGAGCATAATATGGTCAGGTGACCATGTGACCCATGGGCCTCCATCTAATAAGTATTTCATATCCTTAATTCATTACTAGTCTGAATTAAACAACAGAATTAATTAATGATGTAAATAAGGTTTGATAAAGGGGGGTAAAATATAAATTTTTGGCACATAATTGGAACTTTTTAAATCTATTTTCTCATATCTATAAATCAACAAATAATATTATTTAAATTAGTGTAAAGAGTTTTGAGGAATTTTTCAAAATGTGCAAAGTTTATTTATTAGGCAGAGCAGTATTTTCAATTTTCTGAAAGCTGCCATATATACACAATCAATTTAGTCAACCCCACCCCTCTCCCATCAACACACACACACACACACACAAACACACCTAATTTGCCTGTTTTTGGAAATAGGCCTAGATGGAAAGTTAAGATAAAACATCTTTCGTAAGTTATAATTTTCAATTTGTTCTTGCACTATACATGTATTTGAACACCTGCATCACATTGGGCTTCCGTCACGTACCCAACTTAAGTACTAGTTTTACCATTGGCATTATCATTTTTAGATTTCACTGCACGTGCAGTAAGCTACTAGTGTGGTATACACATCATTGCATATAGGAATTATTTCATTTTGTGTTTTAATTGGATTATATTTCATGAAGATTACAGGACCTAAATAATGACAATCGGTAAGTACAAAGT